AGACGGCGCATCTGCTGCTCCCCGCCCCCCCCCGATGTCCAAGGTAAAGGTCGGGGGGGGGGGAAGGGGTGAGAGGTGGAGGCCCGAAAAAGTCATTGTATCTTATACAACACACATTTAGAGGCTCACCACCGAAAAACTCACCCCAAGACAGGAGCAGCGGAAAGGCGCCAGCCAAAATAAATCAGGACCACGAGGCAACAGCGATGGACCGACGATTTTCGGTCCTGACAGATGATCCGGGTGCCGCCGAGAGCGGCGGCTTCCTTTGCTGAAGTCCAGAGGCGGGCTGGCCGGGCGACGGGCACAGCGGATGGCCCCGCTCTGAACTCACAATCCCCAACCCACCGCTGATACGCACAGCGCCTGGATGATGTGGCCCAGGGCTCTGGGTGGGCGGGGTTGCCACGTCAGCCGAAATCATTCTGCCTCCACCAGACCAAAAAATCAAATGAGTAAAAGCATTCACTCTCGCGCCATCTTTGGACGCGGTGCCTGTCTGGCCAAGAGCTCCCGGCCACGAGCCATCACGGCGGCAGGCACAGCCGCCCTTGCGGCCACCAAGGCGTGCGTCTTCATGTAGCGCAGCACCGACTTCTCCGAAGCCCAGCGGCCCCGCCGCTGGATGGCCCACACCGTTCGGTAGCCCTCCGCCGCGTCGTGGCTGGGGCCAGAGTGCCTCGCGGAGTGGGCGGGGAAGGCTGCGATGCCGATGTCGTCACTGGCCTTCCGAAGGGCCCGACGGTAGGACTCCACCGAGCAGCCGAAGACCAGCTCGCCCGGCTTCTTGGCGGCCTTGCGCGCCCGCAGCATGTCGGCGATGTGCGGGCGATCAATCAGCACGCCCTGCCTCACTCCCGTCTTGGTGCGCTCGTTCCGCTCCTGCACTCCCAGCTTGATGGCCACCACGTCGTTGTCGGCGTCCACGATGTCCTCGACCCGCAGCGCGAAGACCTCCGCCGAGCGCAGGTAGGCGTCGACTGCCAGCGCTGCTGCGTCTGCTGCCTCCACGGCCCCGGCCAGCCTCATGGCCTCGTCCAGGGCGGCCCACACCTCGAGCGGCTGGGGCCCACCCTCGCCGGCAACGTGCATCTTGTGCCACGCCCTCAGAGCGCGGTTGGCGCGCGGAAGGCCCGTAGATAGCTCAGGCCACACGAAAGCCATGCCGTGCACCACGTAGTCACCCCTGTGCGGGCCCACCTCCTCGTCCTCGACCAGGTAGTCAAGGTAGACCAGGATGGAGTTGTCGATCTCCTCCCTGCTCATCATTGGAAGGTCGAGGTCCAGCGCGAACTCCAGGAATCGCCGCACGTTGGGCACGTAGCAGTTGAGGGCCGTCTTCTTCCCCACCGAGTAGGGCAGAAGCGACAGCCCAGCCTCCGAGGTCTGCACGGGGCCAGATGATCCAGCTCTCTGACTCTCATTTCGTCGATTGGTGGCGTGCATCCGCCGATCCTGGGAATGGTGACGCAGACGACCATCGGCGAGCGGCATCCCGTGGCAGGACCGAGGGAGGAAGCAGCAGGCCACGACGCTGAGCCACGTCCCGGAGACGGTCACCCTGAGGCCTCCAGGAAGGAGGCGGGCAGCACGTCGATGTCCCGTATGTTGCGCCGCCTCCGCTCGAGCGTCTCCTTGATCAGCAGCTCCACGGCCCTCTCCGTGAACTCCGCCTCGCGCCGCTCGCACCCGTCCAGCATGGCGTCCAGGTGGCACTCGGCCAGCACGCGGCAGAGCTCGGACGAGTAAGCCTGAGCTACCCGCGTCCTGAAACGTCCCGTCTCGTCCTTCCCGCACAAGCTCGCCGTGTGCGTCTTGTGAATGCATGGGCGAATGAGCCGCTCCAGGTGCTTGGCTGTCCCCGATATCGTGGTCAACTTGAGCGCAGGACAGCCCCACATACACTGAGGAAAAGTCACCCTGTAGGCCCCGAGAACCTCCTCCCATTCCAGCACCTCGGGCGTTGCGAAGATCGAGGGGAACGGCGGCTTCCCAGGGTCGGCAGGATGCTCCAGCGAGACTGAGCCCCCTCGGAGGGCGATCGCCCTGAGTACGCGCAGGCTGCTCAACAGCTGCGCCGAGCCCATCTCCACCTTCCTCAAGTCGGCGCCATGGAGACCTGGGCGGCCCCACGGGTGCGAGCGAAGGCGCACAGGCGGGGGTCCTCCAGGCTGGAAGCGCACCCTCGACCACGTAGCGCACGAAGGTCCAGCATGGCCTCCATCCACCTCCAGCTCGGCGAGCAGCTCCAGCCTCCGCACGTTCACCTCCTCGGACAGGTCGAACTCGGGCCCGAACCCGATGTCCACGTTCGTGCACTGCACCACGTACCCCCGACCGGCCGCGAGGCGGGCGAGCCAGAACTCCAAGTCGCCCGACCGTGTGTGGCCGCTGCAGAGGTGAAAGAAGCGCAGCACCTTCACCCTCACGGACCGGCCCAGCCGCAGCGGCGCGAAGGGATCCTCCTCCGCGATGTCCGCCAACTCCTCGATCACCTGCCCCGTCTCGGCGGGCAGCACGGTCTCCCCCTGCAGTCGCTCCTTCGGCGCCTGCCCGATCGGGAAGCCCCGGCTGGGGCCGTCGCTGTGGTTGCGGTCGGACGGCACCCAACGCCAATACTCCCTCATGCCGCAACCCAGGTCGATCGCGGCCATCCGGCGGCACAGGATGAGGATCGGCTTGCTGGCCGACCTGCCCTTGCTGAAGCCGCCCAGGCACACCATGGAGTCGGTGATGCGAAGGTGCCGGCGACCCCAGCTCGCACGCGACCGAGCGGAGTGCCTCACCGCCGCCAGGCCCGTCCTCATCTCCAGAAGGTTGATGTGCTCCTTCTCGTCCCAGCGCCAGCGAACTACCTCCTTCCACCTCGACATGTCGTCCCAGCAAGCGTGCACCGGCGGTGCCCTCACGCGCATCCCGAGCTCGACTCCCTCGGCGACTCGCCGATACGCCTCGCCTTCTGCCCAGGAGTCCGCCGCCCAGGAAGACGAGATGCCAGTCCAGACGGTCCACCCTCCTCTGACAGCAAAGCGTGCCTCTCGACGCATCTCCTGGATGTCGGCCTGGGCTGAGATGATGGCCCCCCCGTAGAGGCTCGCGTCGAACATCGTCACCGTGGGGTCCCAGGGCATGGCCAGGTCGACAGACACCAGCGGCACCACAGCCGCTGCCACGGCCAGCTCGCGAAGGACCTCGTCGGGTAGCCGACGGCGGGGGCCCCCTCGGAACTCCATGCACCAGTGGTAGACCTCCGAGAAAACGCTCAGGGCCCCTCGAGTGATCAGAAAGCCCCAGGACAGGATACCCACGATCTTGGCCACCGCGTCCGGGAACTCCGACCTCTGCCTGAGGATCTCGCTCACCCCGGCCACGGCCAGCCACATCTTGTCCTGGTTCGGGGCGAGGCGTGTGCCCACGAAGTCTCCACCGATCATCCGAGCCTGTCCCGAGCAGTCGTCCTTGTGCACGTTGAGAACCGCGGCGTTCACCAGGTACTTGGCCCCCAACCAGATGTCCCTGATCTGCGTAGGCGGCTCGGCGTCGGCGACGGGAGGGTAGTCCACCCCGATGATGCCGAAGTCGTCGATGTACTCGTAGTGGGCCGCAGGTACCTCCCGACTGATCAGGGGCAGCGGACCGCCTTCTGCCAGACGCTGCTCTTCGGCGAGGGCGGGCATGCCCACGGAGGGACCAGAGTTGAACAGGTCCTCCATCGTCGTCTGAGCCATCCAGCAGGCCCACGAGAAACCCATCAGCGCCACCCGCACACCGACATGCTCGCCCGACCCGCTCAGGCGGGCGTCCGCGGGGAGAACGTCGAGCAGCTCCGAAGCCCGGACACCGGGCAGCACGAAGTAGGGCGCGATCGCCTCGCCCAGGTCCAACGTGTAGTAGAAGTCGGGGAGGTCGCCAGTACCAAAAACCATTCGAGCGCCCTCCTCCGTCATCTCCTCTGAAACGTCCAAGAACGACATGGCACTGACACCGCCCATTGCACACCACGGCGGAGCCCGCCATCGTAGGTTGGAACGCCGCTGATCGAAGACCAAACGCAATGACACCAGAGGCTCGCCGTCCACGATCTCGGCCTTCTTCACCACACAGAAGAGCCCAACCTCGTCCACCTTGGACTCGCAGCGGCACAACATACCAGCCAGAGCCATGCGCCTGGCCAGCATCAGCATGTCCTTCTTGCGGCGGAAGTGCGGGTCCACGTAGTTCTTCACCTCCGCGGCCCTGACGCACTCCTCGCCATCCTCCTTCAGCATCTCCCTCTTGAAATCGTCCAACATCTGAGCCACTCTCGGCGACACAGACCTCGCACTCACCGGCATTGAGCCCGGAGGAGGAAGAGCGACCCGCTCCCAATGGGCGGGAAACGTTTCGCCCCGGTCTGGCAGTCGTACCTGTCCACCAGCACACCTCCTCCGCAGCTCGGCCAACCGTTGGGTATAGGTCGACCGGGATTGGTTCTCCGCCGCCGAAGCGGCGGGTCGCAGCCGCAAGATTGCGGCTCCTCGCTCGGGCGTCGAGGGAGGCGATGGTAGGCGACGTACCTCCTCCAGCACACGCTTCGAGAGGTCCCCGTCCATGGTGCTGGGCAGTGGGCCTTGACCCCAGATCTCCCCAGGATGCAAGAGCTCGTCGCCTAACGTCCCACGATAAAGTTGGCGGAGTCCCAGCAAGCAACGATTGGCCCGCTGCGCAATGTCCACCTCCTCCCGCCAACGTGAAAGTACCCGCCGTGAGCTCGACGTTGGCCTCTCCGGTCGTGGAAAGAGCACCACCTCCGACAGGATGTCCCGCCTCCTCGACATGAATAACCCAATTCGTCGTGCAGTAGATCACCTGCTGGAACCCGACGCTCTTGCCGAAGTCCCACAGACTCGAAAGCCAGAAGTAGAAGAGAAAAGTTGACCAGCCACGATGACGGTGCCGATCGCGTGCAGGGGCTCCTGGCGGACCTTCGCCAGTCAGCCCCGTGGGGTGTTCTCCGGGGCTCAAGGCGGGCTCGCACACCCGCCGTCCAGGTCCGTGCGTGCCTTGATCAGCTGCGCATCTCGACCCATTGCCTTCTTCACCTCTTCCTCGGCACTCATGACCCTGATCGTGCTCTCGTCGGCCAGCTGCGGGTCCAAGCGACGCGCCGCCTCCCAGTCGACCTTGGACTTCCAGTTCTTGGCGTCCTTGGGCCTGCTCCAGTCGTCCCGGCAGTGCACATTGCGGTAGGCCCTCACCAACGCGTACCCCTTGCGGACCAGCCTCTCGAAGCTCACCTGGTTCAAGAGCCCCTTCTGGCGGTCCGTCATGAGCATCGTGTCCACAGCCGCGAAGGTCGCAATCATCTCCCGCGCGGTGTTGCAATCGGTGAGACCACGATCCCTGATGTAGTCCCTCGCCCAAGCCTCCGCCGTCTTCCCGGTCGAGTAGACCTCCGAGAGCACGTCCGGCGCGATCCTCTCCCTGTAGCCTTCCGGCATCTTCGTGGCCCACTCCGAGGCCGGGCACTCCTTGAAGTCCTCCAGCTGCTCCAGGAAGACCTGCTGCGGCATCTGAGCCTTGAACCTCATCCGCTTGATGGCCAAGGACACCGCCTCGGCGGGCTCTGTAGCAGCACGTTTGTCGGGAGTCTCCATGGGCACCGTCGCGTCCCCGCGGGCCGGCGATGTGGGGCCGTCCCCTGGGCCCACAAGCGTAGCAGGAGAGGGTCCCGCCGCTGCCGCAGAAGATCCCGCCACCGCACGCACCTCCTTGCAGGCGAGCCTCGAACTCGTCGAGCCGGCTCAGCATCGACTGGATCTGCAACTGGTTGGCGGCCGCCACTTCGGCACCACGGTCCGCGCTCGAGGACACCATTGCCGACCGCCTCAGCTCCCGAGCCCGCTCGGCAATCCTGATCTCGTTCAACTCCGCGGCCATCGCCCTCTGAGACTCGGCTAAGTCGTCCAACTGGGCCACGAGAGCTGCATCGGGGGCCGCCGCGACGGGATGAGGAGACCCCGAAGGTGGCGGCAAAGGAGGCCCCACGACAGCGGCCCCTCCGACGTCTCCGACCACGGACGATGCAGAGGACGAAGCCACCGACGAGTGACCAGGCTCCTCCCCTTCCTGCATCTCGTGGGCACCCCAGAACATGAGCAGGATGAGCGCTAACAGTAGAGCAGCCCAGCGACGCAGCGGCATGAGCTTCCGAGCCCAGTCCACCCACTCGCCTCCGTAGGACACCCACTCCTGGATCGTCTCGGACGACTCGATGAGCGCGTCCCGACAGGCCACCATCCAGCTCACGAACGCGAGCCAAGTCTCCACGATCATATCCACCACCCCCAGGTACTTCAGAGCTTCGAACAGCACGAAACCCAGCGCCAGCAGCCCCAGCACACGGTACGGCGAGCGCAATGCCCACCGCAGCGTACGCAATGAAGAGCGTGCCGAGCTGGCCATCGCATAGACCACGTTGATGGCGACGGCCTGCTGGGCCTGACGGCCCGGTCGATACAACTCCAGGGCTGGAATAGTACCCGCTCGCAGCCCGTCTGTAGCTTGCTGCATGAAACTGTTCTTCTGCACCTGCGTGAGAGCCGGCAGCGCTTGCCAGCGGATCCCAGGCACGGGATCGGAGAAGACCGTCGTCTTCGCAGTGATCGTGATGGTCCCCATGGAAAGATCTGGCAGCAAGACCGCCCAGCAATTCCCCGTCTTCCGTCGAACTAAGAAAATCTCCTGGCCATCCGTCGCGCTCCGGCGGTAGTAGCGTCGGCTCCATACCTCCACTGGCATCACCCGCTCCGGCGTGAAATCCTCACCCTCCAGCGGATCCTCCTCAGGACTCGGCGGGTCACGGACCACGGTCACGAGCGTCCAGAGGAACACCAGGAGCGGCCCGCCGCAGCGCGCCGTCGCGAGGATTCGACCCCCGCCCTCTGGCAGGCACGGCGCCTGCCCAGCAAGGAACAAAGGGAGCTCCCCGCACTCAGAGCCCACCAGCTCCCAGGACGAGCCAGCAGAAGATATCGCACTGCCCGCGCGGGATGGAGAAGTCGAGCCCACTGACTCGAGCTCAAGCGAAATGGGCATGAACGCTTGAGCCCCAAAGAACTTGAGACGGAGAACACATGCATAACACGTTATACAGACGGCGCATCTGCTGCTCCCCGCCCCCCCCCGATGTCCAAGGTAAAGGTCGGGGGGGGGGAAGGGGTGAGAGGTGGAGGCCCGAAAAAGTCATTGTATCTTATACAACACACAAAAAGTGCCGGATCAAGTCGAAAGCGGGCTCCGAGAGGAGGAGGGTCAGGAGGCAAAACTGCTCGGGACCCTGAGATCCTGGGCCGGGCCGCGCGGGACAGTCAGAGGAGGGCTCGGCTTGAGGAGCTGGTCGCTGGGAAGGGTCCAGAGCTCTCTGGGGGCCAACGCCATGAGCAAGTGGCGACGTCGAGGGTCTGGGGAGGGCGCGGGAGGTGGGAGGGATCCAGGTCGTCGGGCCCTCTCCCCATCCCTCTCCAGCGGGCCAGGGTTACGTCGGACATGTCCTCCTACAGGCAGGTTTTGGACGAAAAATGAAACAGATTCGAAGGATGCTCAACAGAAATCAACGATGGGCAAAACATCGTCCCCAGACAATGATACTACTATTTTTGAATATTCCCCCAGTGGAGGGACAGGCGAAACTTAACGATAACCTTGGACGTCGGAGGTCTGGGGAGGGAGGGCGCGGGAGGTGGGAGGGATCCACGTCGTCGGGCCCTCCCCCCATCCCTCTCCAGCGGGCCAGGGTCAGGTCGGGACTGCTTTTAGACTACTTTTGAATGCTCCGCCTATAGAGGGACATGCCCGACGTAAGGCCAGGGGCTCCATGGCGTCCCCAAGCTGCCCCCGCCCGATGCGGGGAGTGGACGCCGCGGACCCCCGACGGACTGGCCGCGCCAGTCGGATCGGATGAAAAGGGGGAGGCAGGAAAGGGGTAGTCAACGAATCAGCTCATGTACAGAGGCCAATCCGCAAGAGACCTTCCACAAGAAACCCAACCCTGAGACCGCAGGACGTCCATTCGTTGTTGGTGTGGGAACGTCACGCTTTGCATAGTACAACTATCGAAACCCAAGAAACCCAGAGCACCCTGGAGGGAAACAGGATGTTTGTTGGCATGGGTCTCCATTGTAGGAGGTAAAAGGGGGAGACAGGAAAGGGGGGATCCGGCGGGACACCGGCGGGACACCGGCGGGACACCGCGCGCCACCGGCCCCCGGACAGGAATCATTTGGTCCAGCCGCGCCTCAGCCGGAGGAGACATTCTTCTCGCCCGCCCACGCAGCTTCGCCTCGCCCGCACGCAAGGCACGCACGAACACGAAACCGAAACAGATTTCCTGGTAGGCGGGCTCTCCGTTCCACCTCGATCTCACCCCCTCATCTCCGACAGATGAGGTCCGCGCCTTCTAAGAAGCAGCCTCTTCTACGGGCATCGTCACATCCTTAGCGTGCATGTGGTTTCGGGCCCCGCGAAATCGAAGCCCTTGACACGCTAAGCAGCGCACGGGCGTACACGCGAAGTAAGGCCGGGCAAAACAGCCCTCCGAAATACCCGCGAAGTACCAGATGCGCAGGATCCATGCAAAATGCGGAGCTGTTGGCGTGCATAAGCGTATTTCCAACCGCACGCCAATCATCGACCATGATTGTATAGCCGACCCGTACCATAAGGACGCGCGATAAGGATGCAAAGGCCTTCGAAGGCCATGCCGACACTTTTCGCAGGCGGCGCGCGGCCAGCAAAAAGTGGCCAAGGATGGACCGAGGAGGCAAGGATGCAAGGGCACCCTTGGGAAGGTTGCCAATCCTTGCTATGCGGGTGGACTGCAAGAAGCCTCCGAGGTACACGCTGAGCACCAGCCGCGCAGGACACACGCCAAGTGCGGGGCGCTGAGCGTGCATGGAAGCATTCCCAACGACACGCTGAGAACAGACCATGGGTGTGAGCAGCCTTGCCTCCTCCCCTGCCACCCCCCTCTGCGCGTGGCCGATGCCTTCCCTGCTCTTAGGTCGGACATGTCCCCCTACATGTGGATTTGGGACAAAATAATCAAAACACATCAAAAATAGTTCGCCGACCCCTTGGGGATCATCGGCGTGTGAGATGCTTCCCCCTCCCCAAACCCCTCCCCCTGGAGCCCGGTCTGGTCGATTTGGAGGGGGGGGGGCCGTCCGGCCCGAGCGCATGGGGGGGGTCCGGCCCTTCCCGGGCTCCTTCTGGAGGTCCACGACCCAAACAAAAACAAAGGGGCCGGCGGTGGGGCGTAAGCCTACGAATCCAACATACAAAAAATGGTCCCCAGGCTATGTCTAAAATAACTTTGAAGGTTCCTCCTGTAGAGGGTACAGGCCCGACTGAACCCTGTTCTCGCCCCTCCTCAGGAGAGCCCAGAATCGAATCGATAAGTCGGATCGGCGATCGAAATGAATCGGATCGGCGGAAATCGGCAGCCGAGTCGGGAAAAGTCGAATCGGCGGAAATCGGCAGGCTAGTAGCCCTCCGACGAGAAATCGGAACCCAAATCGGAATCCCAAGTCCAACGGAATCGGAATCGGAACCCATCGAAATCGAATCGGATCGAATCGGAGGAATCGCAACGAGCCCTGACCCTGTTCTCGCCCCTCCCCGCCCTGCGCTCCAGCGCCGCGGACGACGCCGAGAGGCGCGTGGCCCCCAGCGGGGGCGTGGCGCCGCCGCCGCGCGGCGAGGCCCTCGCCGCGCGGAGGGCAGCTCCTCCGCCTTCCTCCTCCGCCCTCCTCCTCCTCCTCCTCCGCCTTCCTGCTTCTCCTCCTCCTCCTCCTCCTCCTCCTCCTCGTCCTCGTCCTCCTCCTCCTCCTCCTCCTCCTCCTCGTCCTCCTCGTCCTCCTCCTCGTCCTCCTCCTCTTCCTCCTCCTCCTCCACTCCCTCCTTCCCTCCAGCTCCTCCTCCTCCTCGTGCTCCTCCTCCTCCTCCTCGTCCTCCTCCTCCTCCTCCTCTTCCTCCTCCTCCTCCTCCTCCTCCTCCTCCTCTCCCCCCCTCCTCCTGGCGCGTAGCCGCCGGCCGATCGCTAACCAACTCCCCTTACCTAAGATCCTGGCTCTGTCTGGATACGGCGGATTCGTGCCGTGTCGACTTCGGAATTCGTTTCCGACGCCATGGAGATCGTTCAGCCTTGAGCGATCGACCGTTTCCGAAACGACCGATCGTTCGACATCGACCGATTCTGGGTCGCTGGCGGCATTCAACTTTAAACGATGGCGGCTGGGTCGCCGCTGGTCGACACGACGCGAAGCTAGGACGAGCAAGATGTCATGACAAGATTGGCTCAAGATAGGTCCCAATATTTTCAGGAACTATCTAGCAGCCCTCGTTTTTTGAGCCCGTGCGGGACACTGGGGCATTATGGGAATCTTGAACACCTTGCGCATCTAGAAACGTATCATTCTCATGCACTCTTGCTCCTCTGAGAATTGACGGCGCGCAAACGGGGGTAATTATATAGGGGGAGAGGGGAAGGCCTCTTAGAAGGAGGCTGCTCCTCTTAGAATGCGCTGGCCCTACATCTACAGACAAGACCCGCACCCTCTACAAAGCAGGGGTCCCTCTGAGAACCCCCCCCCACACACACTCTCCCTCCCCCCCCCGCTCGTGGCTGCGTCCTCGAAGGAGGCGTCGTTTCCTCCAGGAAGTGGGCCCCCTGATCACCCCTGAGATCAGCCGTAGGGAACACCTTGCAGCATCGTAACAGGTCACGCCCGGAGCCCCAGCCTACATCTTGCCGCGCCGCCTTCCGAGCCCGAAGTGTCTGTGAGGGCCCCCGGGGCCCGAGACAAGAAGCGACAGCGCCCGGCTCGAAAGCATTGGGACGCCAGGACCTCGGGTACCCCCGGAGCACTCCAGGGACGGCCCCCGACCGCCAGAAAAGCCTCCCTGGGCCTCGCTCCCGCGAAGCATGGGACCACTGGAACCACTACGAGAAGCGTGCTGTGTCGGCTCCAGGTTGCCCACCATTCCAAGTCGTGGGTGTGGACGCCCAGAATGGGCACGGACAAAAATGGGTACAATACCCAACAACAAATGTTGTCCCAAACCGACAGCGGCCGCTGTTGGGCAGGCGGCTCTTTGTCTTCAAAGAACAAGGTCCGCGGCGGCACGAACAGCGAGTCGTGTTCAAAATGAACAGGAACTGCTGTTGGGCATTGTACCCATTCTTTCCGTACCCATTTCGGGCGTTGGCAAAACTGGGTTTAGTGGAACCTGGTTTAGTGATGTGTACTGGGGGACGCCCCCCTGCCCCGTTCCACTAACCGGAACTGCCGTCACCCGAAAGAACACCATCTACGGCAGACCTGGTTTAGTGATTCTGGCTAATTCAAGGGCTCCGGGGCCCTACCACTAACCTGGTCACCTTACCTGGGGTCCTGGCTATACCCGACCAATTCGTTCGTGCAGATTGGGAAACACATCGCCGGACAGTTGCCGGCGCACCCGCCGTTTCATAAAAAACCCTGGCGCTCCGCCGCCTTCCGCCGCCCGCCCGCCCGCCCTCCACGCGGAGGGCGTGGCGCGCCGCAGCGCGCGAAACGTCGTCGGCGTCGTCGTCGTCGACGTCGACGTCGTCGTCGTTGGCGCGCACAAGGGGGTAAGGGGAGGGGGGGAGGCTTCTTAGAAGGAGACTGCTCCTTGAGAAGGCGCGGGCCTTGTCTGCAGATGTCGGGCCAGCGCCTTCTGAGAAACATCCTTCCTTCTAAGAAGCCTTTCTCTCCCTCGACCCCCTTGTGCGCGCGGCGAGCGACCCTTGGCAAGAGTGACCTATTGTGCGCGGCTTCAGGGGGGGGCCGCGGAGGGGCCGGCCAAACCCAAGCGCGCGTCAACCCGGCGAAGAGCCCCTCGTACGTGTAGTTGAGCGATGCATTAGCGCCGACGGGAACTTCCGCTTCGCATGCGCAGCGGCGGCCCCGGCCACACGCTATATGCCCTGCAAGCGGATGGCGTGTCGCTCCACTCCGCGGCACGGGTGCGCGGGAAAAGCTAAGGACGTTGACGCCTCGGGACCAGACATTGGA